CCCCCCTTTCCATCGTTGAACATATTATTATACTTTTGTTCTCTAATTCTTTCTTTAAACTTTAATTATTTATTTATATATTCATGTCTTTCTTTTAAGGAAAAATTCAGTTCTGTTTTCCTTTCCTGTTTACAGGTGTATTTTTTATTTTACTCAAAGCACGGGGATCTGAGTTTTTTTATCTTGTTTCTGAATGCTTCCTCCCAGACTGGTGTATTATCGTGGCCCTATAAATGACAGTCCGTGTCTTGTGGCTTAATTCAACCTTAAAAAAACAACCAGTAATAACAACAATAGCAACTACGACAACAACTGCACAACTAACAACAACAACAACAACAACAATAACAGTAACAACAACAGCAGCAGCAACACATCAGCAACAACCTGTACTTTTTATCATGCCCCCTCTCCCTTTTGGTGTTGCTTTGTTCCTTCTTTTCTTCCTTTCACCTGAGGCAGTTACTGGGTATAAACTCGACCTCAAATTGGCCGTGATTTGGGGTTCTTGAGAAGTTAATCGTTTCAGTTTTGAAAATTAATCTCAAATAAGGACCCCGCAAAGCGAAGAGACTTACATCTTTCAGGTCAATCTTTATACATACAGTATAATTTTCTTTCAAAGGGCTTTCAATCTTGCCTGTCTGATTTAAATTGGAAAAAAAAAAACCAACAGTTTTTGTTGTAGGATCTCCTCCGGAAAATACGCCCAAATCTCGAATAGGTTGATTCAACTTGTTCTTAAATTTTAGAATATTAGCTTGGTACAAAGGAGTCCTCTATTAGGTACTGTCGAGTGAAATGGCGATCTAAAAAGATTCAGAAAAAAAAACTTGGGCATTTGTAGACTCAAAGTCAAGAAAGGGTTTTATTTTGAAGATTACTGAGTAAACATTCATCCCCATCCCCACCCACTCCTTAGCTATTATCATGTTGTTCACTCACAACTATACAACTGATGTCTTAACAACATCATTTTCTTAAAATTGTTTCTTTCTGACTTCAGGGGTGGTTCCTCAGAATGTTCTGGAGGATATATACCCGGGCAGCTCTGTTGTGACGGAATCACAAATGTAAGTACTTAATATTATTAGATTCGAGTCACACACGATTTCAAAAGGTTGTGCGGATTCCAGTTTGGAATCGCACCCCACATTGTTAGTATTATTTAAGTCTTCGTTGTAGCGTGTTAGTAAGTGCTGATATATTTTGTTTTTACTGTGTTCCTTGCGTGTATTTAATTAATGTATGGTTGTGAAAGTTCTTCTTTATGTGGTCTTTTTCTTGTTACTTCTGCCCCCCCCCCCCCCCGGGCAGTGCCACTGACTGAAGTGCCTTGAGGTCATTTCCAAAGGGGGATATTAACAAGTTTTTATTCACAGTAGAATTGTAAATGGATTGATTTATCAATGTCATGCTCATACTGTGCCGGAACAGCGTAGGGGGAACTTCTGTTTTTCTTTCTTCATCCTTACTATCGTCATTTTTCCTCTACTTCTTTTGTATGTTTGTCACACTCTTGTGAACTATTTCCGGGGTGCCTTAACAGTCGAAGTAGACTTTGTGCTGTTTAGGCTAGAGAGGTGAGCAGAGTAAGACTAATTCCCCGTTTGGACTTCTCTGTTGACATCCACCCCATGGCGCTCATATGACCTTATGCAGTTGCGAGCGCCGTAAAACCTTACTAAAACAAACAAAACAACGTACAACTTCTACCTCATTGGACTAAATCTAGAGGGGTTCATCTACGTACTCGTTTTAAAAAAAAAGAGATAAAAAGAGGGAGCGGGCTTGGCGTGTGGAGGGAGGAGGGAGGAGAAGCAGAATAAATGAATACCAAATATCAATATACCAGTCTGCACCATCGCAAATATAATAATCACGCCACGAAATATTAGCCAAAAACAATCAAGCTATATACACTTTCCCTGAATGATCCTGTAGTGTTTTCAGTAACGTAGCCACAACTGAGATCATGAAAAGTTGTGATGTCTTCAGAACTGGGTTCGACGTAAATCTAAAATGTTTTTCTGAACTAAGATGCCAAAAATAATAATTCATTATGATCGCTGATAATCGGTAAATTCAAAGAAATGCTTTGGATAGTTGTTGCTTGAGAAAGGTCAAACAAAATTTACCTTTACTATCTAAGAAAATATATTTCAGGAAGATAAATACACGTATGTGTTGTAAATAAATACTCATAGAAATCTACAGAAACACACAGGCGCGTTCTCAGGATTATGACTGACAGATCCGGTAGAGAGGACAAAACATTGAAAAGTCAAAGGCGAAAAGATACCATAACGTCTTGGCAGTGGGACGAGGGCGTTGGGTTTTGGGGTCAGGAGTTATGATAGGGATTTGGGATAAGGATTTGGGAGTTAGCAGTTAGGGGCTATTCTAGTGTTGCAAACGCTGGCCTTTGTGCACTAAGGGTAAACATCAAACGAAAGTCATGGTACTTGCCTCAGGGATTGACAAAGTCTTGCTTTACTTAACTCTTCGGCAACCTATTCCTTTATACAGACCAGTTTCTACGACAATTGTGTTGATTATCTGACTGGAAATTGGAAAGAACTGTTACTCAAGACTTGTTTTTCTTCTGCAGCTTTTGGTCTGCGAATCGGAAGTACACAACACCGTTTGCCATTTTGATAGTTAATTCCTTTTTTTTAAAATGTAGGCGTTTTACACTGCCATCGGTACAATTTAGATTATTTAAGGGGTGGGCTGCTTCGACTCTATCTGAGACGGCCAACCCAGAATGAGAGGGATAAAATGGGGTTCAGCATCTGGCAGACAGAAAGAAGGTACTCGATAGATACATGTATTCTCCCAACCGGGGATTTAAACTCCGACTATCTGCGTGCGACGGCAAAGCCCATAACGGTTACACCACAGAAGGTGATTTTTCTTTTCTGCTGTCGCTGTCGCCTGTGACATGTGCGAGCATCTTGGAGTATCTGGATTTATACGAACAAACACATGTTACCGAGGACACTTTCGTGTAAAATAACATAAATTGAAAATGACAAATACACACATCTATAGCATTTTAAAATCTTAATTGCACAAAATAAAATTTAAAAAAATCAAAAAAGAAATGAGAAAGCAAAACAAAACAAAGAACAAACAAACAAACAAACAAAGAGAAAACACGTTTTACTCTTAGATGTTTCAAACTTTTTTTTATCCACAGATTGTGCCAACAGGCGGACAACAGCAGTGGGCCTGCTGTCATAAAGGTCTGTCTGTCTGTCTGTCTGTCTGTCTGTCTGTCTGTCTGTCTGTCTGTCTGTCTGTCTGTCTGTCCGTCCGTCTGTCTGTCTGTCTGTCTGTCCGTCTGTCTGTCTGTCCGTCTGTCTGTCTGTCTGTCTGTCTGTCTGTCTGTCTGTCTCTCTGTCTGTCTGTTTGTCTATCGATCTATTTATCTATCTATCTATCTATCTATCTATCTATCTATCTATCTATCTATCTATCTATCTATCTATCTATCTATCTATCTATCTATCTATCTATCTATGTTTTCATGTTCGGTCTCTTTATCTGTTCAGCTTTTCGTCTTTTCGCTTATTATCATATTAGCTCTCAGAATGTTTGTTATAATGACAGTGTACATATCGGCCCTTCTCTCTCGTTTATAAATGACGGCCTTCATTGGAAAACACACTATACGCAAAATCTTGGCATTTCCAGAAGACCCTGTACTGTCCACTCCATAATCTTATCGTTAGAAATAGAATTGTCATCAGAATTATTTTTTTCTTGCCAAAATGCACTTTTCCTCAATATATCCTAGGTATTCCTAAATATTTAGAAATGATGAATATAACGTTTCGTTCATACTTTTGTTTTCAGAGAATACTTTTTTCCTTTTTCGTTTTTGTAGTAAATGGATATACCTCGTTTTGCCATGGAGCCATTTATGATTTCCATCTCTTCAATAATCTCCCTCATATATTCACTTACCATGGCCAGTCACTCCACGAATGCGGTCAGCGATATTTCGAAATTTGTTCTTACACCTCAGCATAAGACAATGCTATATTCTGTAATGTGTAATCTCTTCTTATTCCGAAAGAACCCCCCCCAAAAAAAACACACCCCACCCAACAACACACAGACACAAAAAAACAACAACCACGGACAGTCTATATTTCGTAAGAGGGGTCCGCTCTACGTCCTACATCGTCTTCGCAATAGTAATAATATTACATGTGTTGCCTCTTTTATTAGTCATGAAAAAGTAAAGTTGTTCCCGCATTCGATCAGGACATTGGGGATTGCCTTGCAAGTGAGACAACTTCCTGGGCCTTTGGCATACTGTGGTAGGGTGGCCAGTTACTTTCCACGCCGCCTTTACTTCCCCAACTCGAAGTCAGGTACCCATTACTGCTGGGTGGGCAGCAGGGGGCCAAAAAAATCCGTGTCTGAACCGAGGCTCGAACCCGGACTTTCCGCTTCGAAGACGAGCGCACTAACCGCTCTGCCAATTAGACGTGTACATAATTGTTATTCCTATGCCAGTTTTTCTAGGGCTTCGCTTGCACTTCCGGGTACCGGTATCTGCGTTGTAATCAAGGAGCTTAGAACCCCTTTGGTTGTAATGTAAAGGCCCTTCGCCCTTGCACACAGAAGACGCACGTTCGGTTCGGACGGCTTGAAATAACTGATGAAACTCTGTTCGTCTGCTGGAATGATGCCTCGACCTATGTTGTATCCCTCCATCTTGGGTTGATTCGAACAGGCAGGATAAACGTTACCCGACACCCCAGTGATCGAAATTATGTCGGGTTTGTTTTTTAAGTTTCTTGATGGGGGGGTTGG